GGGTGCCGGGCCTGACACTGGGACTGCTGTCTGGAGGCATGAATGCATACACGCTCTGGCTGGCCAGGGCCTACAACCCCAGAGCACGCGGGGAGCACGACCGACCGCCACCGTCCTTCCTGCCGCAGTGAGAACTCACATTCAGCCTGGGAAAGGCATGAACCCGTGGTGGGCCAGTGCCTCTTGGAAAAGGGAGCCCCTGGGGAGTATGGACATCCCGCTCTCAGTCACCGGGAAGTGCTGGGCCCTGGAGCCACAGAGGCAGGAAGGCAGGCCTCAGGTGGGCTGTGGTGAAGGGGGTCTCTGAATACACCCTGGGTTGGGGGGTCTGGCCTCTAAGGGCCCCTTGAGTGGAGGCTGGGCCCATGGGCCCCAGATGGGGGCAGAGAGCAGCCTGCTGGGGTGTACTTTCTGTCCTCTCCATCCTTGGGGAAGCGTCCCAGTGGATAAAGGGCAGTGGGGACCTCTGGGCACCAGGGGTCAAGGGTTGCAGAAAGTGGATGCTGTCAAGCCCTTGGGCTGGACAGACATCAAGCTTTACCACTACTAAGGCGGGGCACATGAGACTGCCCTCCTGCAGCCCGAGGGAGGGCCCCCTGAGCCTGGGAGCTCGGGTGTGATCCTGATCACGCCCTGAGCATGGCGAGCGCCATTTAGAATTTAAAGGGCAGGGAGTCAATGCACCTTCTGCCACTCGGTTGTCTCCGGAACTGCAGGCGGTAGGGCGTTGCCTCCTGTACCCATAGGGAAGCTGAGGCAGCTTCCAGGGCCCCTCAGCCGCCACGCAGCAGGGCCATGATTCGAATGCTGGATCGGCTGGCTGGGGAGCCCAGGCCAGTCCCAGGTGTGTCCTTGCACTGTCCCCACAACCCCGCCCTGTCCTGGGTCACTTTCTCCCTACTTCCAGCTGCCTGTTTCACTACAGAAAAGTTCAGGCCTCGAGACACAAATATGTTAGAAATGGTTGCCCATCGTGGGTGCTCTCACATTTCCTTTTCATAGATTTTATAGATCTCTGAAATTTCCCACAATAAACCTACGTTGCCTTTAAAAGTCAGAGAAAGCAATACAAATATTTTAAATAGACTAGAGATTAAATCATTTCCTCCCCTACAAAGACTCATGCTCTGGGGCACAGCCTTCCGGACCTGGAAGATAAGCCCGGGGGCTCAGGGGCACGCAGTCCAGCTGCATCTAAGTTTTGCAAATACAAAAAGTAACCCAGGGAGAATTCAGGAGAACAGGGTAAGTCATCAGGCAGGCTGTGGGCGTCAGGGTGAACAGGGGGCTGGATGAAATCGCCCTGGGACTAGTCATTTCGAGTGAGCTGAAATGCTTCACATTGTGGCAAGACAAGCGTGGGGCTTCCAACATGCAAGGGGGTCTGGCCTGCTGGGAGGAGCAGGAGCATATAGATTTCAACAGATAAATGTCCTGTCGATGTCAAGTTGTTTTACACAGCTGGGGAGGCAGAGGGCTAGGGGAGAAGAGGTCGGGCTGCAAGCTTCCCGGCTAGCCGGGTCTGGCTCCTCCCTGGGTGTCCTAGGTGCCTGGAAGGGAGCCCGTGCCGTAGGCATTGGCCACACATCTAATGGGTAAATAAAAAGGAAAGGAATGACTCGAACAGCCACCCAGGAAGGAGGGTAGCTCTGCCCCTGGTTCTGAGCCTCAGGGCCATTCTTTTTCTTTTATTGGCTTATAACACTGTGTAAATTTCAGGTGTACATTATTATATATCAGTTTCTGTATAGCCTGCATCACATTCACCACCAATTGTCTAGTTTTCATCTGTCACCATACCTATGTGCCCCTTTACCCCTTTCACCCACCCCCCCACGCCCTTCCCTCTGGAAACCACCAATCTGTTCTTCTTATCCCTGGGTTTGTTTATCTTCCACAGATGAGTGAAATCATACATATCTGTCTTTCTCCCAGGGCCATTTTTTTGCAGGAGAAGATTCGTTCTAAGCTAACATCTATTGCCAATCTTCCCTTTTTTTTTCTTCCTTTCCCCCCCTCAAAGCCCCAGTAGAGAGCTGTGTATAGTTGTCAGTTCCTCTCGTTCTCCTATGTGAGCCACCACAGCATGGCCCCCGACAGATGGGTGGTGTGGTTCTGCGCCCAGGAACCGAACTCTGGCCACCGAAGAGGAGCCCGCTGAACTTTAACCACTAGAGCACCAGGGCCGGCTCAGGGCCATTCTTTAAGACGAACTGCAGGCGAAGCTGGCTCCTCAAGAGGTGCCTCTGACTTTAGAAATCAAAGCTCCCAGCCCAGCCTGTCTCTCCTCCCTGTGGGAAGGGTGCTGGATATTGCCTGTCCCTTGTCCTGGTTTCTGTGCCCACCCACAGCCCCAGGCCCAAGGTCTCAGCCAGGAGTCCACAAGCTAAGTTCTCAGTGAAGCCGGCCCTCGGCTCTCCCGGGAGCTCACCGTGCCGCTGGAACCCCCTGCCCTGCACCTCCGGCGGACTGCAGGTGGGGCAGCCTCTCGGGTCCTTCCACAGAGGAGGCCCAGTCCCTTGGGGCCCACGCGGAGTCGGCAGCCCACACACTCAAGACAGCACCACAATTGGTGGGTCTCAACCTGTCTGAGCATCAGAACCACCAGGAGGCCCCCAGCCCACCCTCAGAGCTTCCGATCTCATCACCCTGTTGAGGGCAAGGCCAAGGGCGGAGCCGACCCTGGGGGAGAGTCTCAGATAGGGGGGCCTGCTGAACCTGCGGTCGGGAGGACAGCAGTGACGTCCGGGATCAAGGCACTTCTAGCCCAGGCTGGACCCCCGCCCCAACATCCTCTCTCCTCCAAGAGACCCCTGCCCTGGCCGCCCCTTCCCCCACCCCGGCTTCTATCCACTTCCAGGACCCTGACATCACCACCACCCCCACAGCCCACAGCAGGCACCCAGGAAATGTTTGCAGGACCTCAGTGCTGATGGGCTGGGGGGGGCCCTCGAGGGCTATAGTGGCCAGCCTGGGCTGGGGCTCGCGGTGGAACTGGCCAGAGTCACATGGCTTGGGGCCCTCCGTACTGGGGCTCAAGTGAGGCAGGGGGCTTTAGAACTTACTAGAAGTTTCTGGACATTTAGTCTTGGCCCCTCTTCCTTACCCTCCCGGCCTCTCTGCTACCGTGTCGGATTTGCAAGCTCAATGTAACCTAGAAGGGCCTCTCCCTTAGCTGCTCAAAGGCCACTCTGCGAGCCCCAAAGAAGCCGGGGAGGGAGGACCCAACTTCTTTCCCCGAGGGGCTGTCCCTGGCCCGGTGCAGAGGGAGGACCCTCAGCCCGCCCCAGCCCAAGAGTGGAGGGCTTGAGTGCCGCTCCTGGGGAAAGGGGGCCTCAAAGGCCTCCACTAGCCATCGGCCCAGGACACTCACTCCCCCCACAGCCATGGCCCAGGTGCGGGGTGCCAGGCGGGGCATCTGCCGCCCCCAGGGATGTTCAGAGGAGACCCAGGCCCGAGGGGCCACCCTTCCCTCTCTCCCCTCACCCCACATTCCAGTCACTCAGCCATCCTGCCAGCTCTCCACCAAAACCAACCCAGCGTCTGAGCCCGCCACCACCTGTCAGCTGCCACTCTGCCCTCGAGTGTGATCCCACAAGAATCACAGGATGCTTCTTACCCTCTTACAGTCGGGAGAATTAAGATATGACACACATGAAGTAAAACGCACCCTTGTGGAGCACAGCTCCGTGCGCTCTGACGAGGAGTCACCATGGGACGCCCCCACGGTCATGAGGAGAACCTTCCATCGCCCAGCGCTGCCCTCCCACTGCTCCGTAGTCAGCTCCTCCTTCCCCTTCCTGCCACGCTAAACCACCATCGGCCTGCTTTCTGTCACCTTGCGAGTTCTAGAAGTTTATATAAATGGAATCGCACAGCGCTCTTCTCCTGTGTCTGGCTCCTCCTACGTGATAGAATGTTTCTGAGACTCACCCACATCATGCCTGCCAGTCCTTGATCCTTTTAGCGCTGAGCATCTTCCATCGTACGGAAATACCACAATTTCCATAACCCATTCAGCAGCCAATAGACAGGGCTGTTTCCCACTTCATTCTATTATGAATAAAGCCAGTGTGAGCACCGGCGTAAAGGTTTTACGTTGACACGTCATTTTAATTTATCTTGGGTAAGTACCTGGGAGTGGAATTGCTGGGTCCCATGATAAGTGCACGTTCACAAGAAACTGCCCAACTGCCTCCCAAAGTGGCTGCACCCACCTTTTGCGATTCCACCAGCAGTGTCTGAGGGTGGCAGCTGTTCCACACCTTCCCCGACACTGGTATGGCCAGTCTTTCTATTGCAGCCATGCCAGCAAGCGTGTAGCAGGATCTCATTGCGGTTTACAGGGATCCTTTTAAAACCTAATTGTGACCTTCTTTTCTCAAAACTGTCCAAAATCCTCCTGGCCAAATCTAGGACAAGTTGAACAAAAAAGTTAATAGGAACTAATTATAACACACAAACTCAAATAATATCCCATGAGTCCATACTTATATACACACAGACGTGCACGGATCAAAGGGAGAAGGGAAAGTCTTATGTAGAATGCCAAAACTGGTAAAGATAGAAGATGGACTTGGAAAAACCACCATTTGGCAATCATCATGGTAATATTTTTTTCTGGCAACACTCATCAACGGATGCTAATACTTGTGGGCGAAAGTATGGTGAGAAACAGGATATTTACATAGTCCCAAAGTCTCTCCCCGACAAGATTCCTATTCATTCCAAAGGGAAAATGGGTAACTTCACAGCGGAGACTCGTGACTCACACCATGTCCATCAAGCGATCCACATCCCCACCGCCAGCAATGGCGCTCCTGTGCTCCTGGCGGAAGGCACGGAGAAGGGCACAAGCTCCCTCCTCTGGAGCTCCTGGCACACGTGCACAGCTCACTCTGACCACAAGGAAGCATCAACAGGAAAAAATCAAGGGTGTGCTGCCAAATAACTGGCCTAAAGCTTCAAAAACGTTGTCAGAGAACAAAAATTCGACCGAGTACACATAAAGATCTAATTGGCTTTATTCGGCGATTCATAAGTGGGCAGCATCGCCCCCAGCAAGGAGACAGGCGTTCTGAGCAGCTGTACAAGATGGAAGCCTCGACGACGTGGAAGAGTGGGTCATCTCAGCAAGGCCGCCTTCTTCCAGGGGAAGACAGGCCGCCGTGTCAGGCAGGTTCCCTCCTTAGGGCTGGTCAGGGAACTCCCGAGGGGCTGGTTTAAAATCCCACCCCTGGGAGAGGCTGAAGCTGCCGTGAGGTGAGGTGTCAAGCCTGGGTGGGTTCAGCATAAGTGACTCCATTTGGGGCCTGTTGATTCTTTTCAACCACATCAAGGTCATGAGGACAAAGACAGACTAAGGAACTGAACTGACTAAAGTAGCAAAGGGGCCCAGAATCAGAGCTGCCGGCGACCTCCGAGCGGGTCCCGGGCTGGGGGAGAGGTTTTCTTCTGCCATGAAGGACGTCTCTGTGTCCATCCGTGCTACGTGAACGAGGTCTGAAGAGCAGGTGACAGCAGTGTGTTCACATTCATTTCCTGATCCTTATCACTGTGCCGCGCTTAGGTAGGAGAACGTCCTCGTTTCTGGGAAATGCATGCAAAATTCTTTACAGGTGACGGCATCATGGCTGCAACTTACTCTCGTCTACAAAAAAAAATAGAGAAGAGAAGGACAAAAACAGACGGGATAGAATGTTAACATTTGGGGAGCCTAGGTTAAGGATATAAGGGCACTATTTGTACTATTTTTGTAATACTTTGTAAAATTTTCTATACATCTGAAGTCATTTCAAAATAAAAGGTTTATTGAAATAAAACCCTCCAACAGCAGCTCACTGCTCTTAGAAAAAATCGAGACCCGCCTATCGCGGCCCGGCCACCTCTCCTGCCGCGGCCTCCAGCACCCTGCCTGCCCCTTACATCCCGTCACCCGGCCTGCTTTCCGCGTCCCGGAACCCAGACACGTTACCGCCTCTGCGGCCTGCAGGGAAACCCGTCCCCGTCCACTGGCGTGGCTCATTCCCACCTACTCAGCCCGGCTCTGACGTCACCCCCCCAAAGATGCCTCCCCTGAACAAGCACCCGTCCCTCCTACCTTCACTCCCCGGCCTCACCCTGTTTTTCTTCACAGCCCTTTTCCCCTCAGCACACAGCACGTGATCTCTCCTTCAGATCGTATTTCTTTCTTCCTTGTGAAGCCCATCCCTCCCTCACAGGCCACCATGGTGTGCTCCTCTCCCAACCACACTTTCCCTCTGGGAACCTCTCTACTCCACCAATATCTGATTAGGTTCCATCCTCTCCGCTAGCCTGTGCCTCCCATTCCTTCTTCCCGCAGGGTCACCATTTGCTCCTACAGGACCTTCTGGTGAATTATTCTTCCTTCGTGCCACGAGCAACCTGCACACCTGTACATGGCTACCCTGCCCAAGTCAGCAGCCCAGACAGGGAGTGGAACTCTAGTCCTGCCGCTCTGCTACTCAAAGCCCTTCTGTGGCTCCTCACTGCATTCCGATTAAAACCTGGACACGCCTTGCTCCGAGCTCCCCCAGCCTCACCTCACTTCGCCTCATTGGAGCACTCACCTCAGCCCTAGGGGCCGATTCTCACCATTATGATTCCCCATCACATGGTGGTTCCCGGGCAGCAGGGCAGGGCTCCCGTTCCCAGGCTCTGGCAACATAGAAGGCGTAAGGAAGCGTTTCACGAGTTCATTGCTGCTTTCCGTCCGTATCTGCTGGGCTCCTCCAGTCAAGGGCCTGTGCCCGGCTCTGAGGATGACCCTGCAGCGTTGAGCCCCCGCTCTGCTGGGGCTGCGGGTAACCACGCACACAGCACCCAGAAGACCGAGGCTGGTGGGCCAGGGAAGGCTCCTCCCGAGTCAGAGCCACTGACGGGGATCGAGGTGACACCGAAGCCACAACCCTGCAGCTGCCACCTCTGCTCCTCGGTGAGGGCGGGCACCGCCTCCCGCCTCCCGGCCCCTCCTCTGCTGGCATCTCACCCAGGCTGGGAGAGGGGCAGGGCATCTTCCTGCCCAGCGCTCCCTGAGGCCCGCACGGGGGGTCCTGCCAGGGCCCCACAGCAAGGGCCAGTGGCACCCTCCAGCTCCGGTCCGAGGGGTCTGCTTACTTGCTTACTTTAATAAATCATTCAAACACCATACAATTCACCCATTAAAGCGTACAAACCAACGACTTTCAGCATCTTCACCACAGTGCAGCCAGCACCACAGCGGGCTGAAGAGACACCACAAGACACCACCAGAGAGAAGCCCCACGCCCTTTAGCCATCGCCTCCCTAACCCCGCCGCCCCGCCGGAGTCCCCGGCTCCCCCCGATCTACCCTCGGTCTCCGCAGAGGTCCCCACGGACGACGGGCTTCCTGTAAGTTTTATTGGCTTTCTGAACGAGCGCTCCGGCTCTGCCAGGCTCGCCCCGGGGTCTCCCGGGTGCAGGTGGAGAAGGTCCTCTCTGAGCCTGAGCCCCTCGCCGTGGCCTTGCACAGAGCAGCAGGTTTTCCTTCCAGATCCCAGGGGACGTCGAGGGGAGCCGAGCCCCGCTGGACGTCTCCCCCAGGGACGCCTAACTAGTGCCATCAACCCAACCTCAGAGTCACTTTAAGAGCTGCTTAAATATGGGCACTTTGTCAACAAACGTTGGAGAGGGCGTGGAGAAAAGGGAACCCTCAGACACTGCTGGTGGGAATGCAAACTGGTGCAGCCACTATGGAAAACAGTATGGAGATTCCTCAAAAAAATTAAAAATAAAAATACCATATGACCCAGCTATCCCACTACTGGGTATTTATCCGAAGAACTTGAAATCAGTAATACAAAGAGACTCATGCACCCCCATGTTCACTGCAGCATTATTCACAACAGCCAAGACGTGGAAGCAACCCAAGTGCCCATCCACTGATGAATGAATAAAGAAGATGTGGTATACACATACAACGGAATACCACTTAGCCATAAAAAGAGACAAAATCATCCCCTTTGCAACAACATGGATGGACCTTGAGAGTGTTATGTTAAGCAAAATAAGCCAGACAGAGAAAGACAAACACCGTATGATTTCACTCATCTGTGGAAGATAAACACACACGTGGACAAAGAGAACGGATTAGTGGTTACCAGAGGGGAAGGGGGTTGGGGGGTGGACACAGGGGTAAAGGGGCACATCTATATGGTGACTGACAAATAATAATGTACAACTGAAATTTCACAATGTTATAAACTATTACGACCTCAATTTAAAAAAAAGAAAGAAATGGGCGGTTTGAGCTTACTCCAGGCCGGCCCCCAAGGACGGACTGACCATCACTGAAGACCTTCGCAGCAAGACCGCAGACAGCTGCCGCTGGAGCTAAAACAGGACCAACTATGCCCGAGGGGTTACCTGCCCAGAGAAAGGTCAGTGTTGGTCAAGCGGAGCGGCCGCCTGGGGAGCGGGGAGTCTGGAGCTGGCGCGAGGCTCCGACGGGTCCGGCAGAGAACTCCTGCCTGCTGGGCACGGGACCGCTCAGCATCAGGGCGTTCAGGCCCAGCACGAGGGGATTTCCCAAGTAAGGGACTCTCGCCCCTTAGAAATCAGTTCTTCTTGACTTTTTCTTCTTTACTTTTACTGCTGTTAAAGAAAACCTATTACCCAACTTAATAAACCTGTCTTGTTATAGATACAAGTCACAATTTTGTGGGTAGTGACCATGATTCTGAACGTCAAGGGCACTGTGGTTAAGTCATGGACCTGAGTTAGGGCACCTGTGAGGGCCGATGTGGTGGCTAAGACCCTCCCTCGTAAGGGGAGGAGGCTTCCCAGATAATCTGCAAAACCCTCCCAGGATTAAGACTCCCCTGAAAAAACCAGCCCGCCCCATACTTCAACTAGGCAGGCATGGAAACACTCCTGGCTGCCCTCCTTTTCCAGACTTCTCCTCCTGCAGCAGAGTCTGGGATGGGAGGGGCCAGGCGACACACCCTGGGCTCAGAGCCCCGTTCATTCTTAAAAATCCAGTAAGAGGAGCACACGGCCAAAGTAAGCAGAAGAAAGGACGCAGAAAACAGGAGAGGAAGCCCTGGAAGTGTGAGACCCGATCCAGCAGGTGCACCACCGACTCGCAGAGGAGACACTTCTGGTCTCAGCTCCCACATGTAAAGGGCTAGGAGGCCGTCACCCCATCCTCAGAACAAGAAAACTGCACAAACAGAAACAACAACTTTTCTCAGACCCATCAGAGAACTGAGGTCGCAGGGCAAACTGCCACCCCGAAACCTGGAAATCAGGGAATTTAGAAAGTTGCGGCCCAGTCTGCTCACCGGGAGCAGAAGCCGCTGAGCAGAAACCAGCAGACACACTGATGGGAATCGTGGGAAAGTGCTGCAGGCTGAGTGTGCAATCGTGAGAGAGAAACTCCTGGGGCCACGGTCTGGGGGGCCCACACTCTCAAGGGCTTTCCCTCCAGGAACCCCACCAGGTGCTCTGAGAAGACCCCCTAGCGTCCCTGGCAGACAGAGGGGGAAAGAAATGCTGGTGAAACACACCAGGGCCTTCTCCGTCCTTGCCTTCCCTTCCAAGTGACCCGGCGAGGGCCCTGCTGTCCCCACGCTCTGGGTGCTGCCGGCCGCCTCCTCCGCCTGCCACTCCACAGGCCCCATCCAGCCGGTTTCCCGTGGGTGGCAGCCGGGGCCAGGGGCTCCATCACACAAGCCCCGCCCCCTCGGCCAGCCCTTGGGGCTGCCGTGTTCTTCATCAGGAGCCCAGAAGGTCTGATCGTCCCCTGTGTGGGGGTCGGCAGCTGCCATTCCCTACGCTCATGAGTTCCCAGGGAGTTGCAGAATGGTGATATTCTGCTCCTGACATTCCATTTTATTAGTCGGAACACTTTAATAAAAAAGACTCTCTCGTGTGCGATTCGGCTCCCCCGTGGCACAGCGCCCATGGAAAAGGCAGGGAAGATGCTGAATCCTTCCCCTTCACTGGCCTGTCTTCCAGGTAAGGAACTGACTCCTGTTCTCCTCCACAGGCGGCCAGCTGGGGTTCCCGACAGCGAACTCATAGATTAAAACCTACTTATGAGTTTCGATCCATCGCGATGAGTGTCTTTATCCCAGCGCAGGTTCTGCCACCTCTGCCATACACGGAGCTCCGCAAGTTCGACTCACTAACTCCTTTCAGGAGTGGCCGGCAGGACAGCGTCCCCAGCCCGTCTCTCCAGGGAAGGAGGATGGTGCTGTGAGCTCCCTTGAGGCAGAGGACCAAGGCGAAGGCTGCGGGTTGGAGCAGCGAGGCGGGCTCCTGCGCGGGAGAGCCGATGCAGAACCAGAGCGGCGTGGCACGCGGTAAACTTGCTCCTGGGATCAAGGCCTCAGGATGACGTTATTCCGTCCATTTGAGACCTTTGATGAAGCCCTGACACCAGCGGTAAGAAAACTAGAGGTACCGGCAGGGTCGAGAGTGTAACACATTTACTAAATTTGTACCATTTTTACCAAGACACGACATGACTCCTGGGTCTGGGGAAGGCCATTCTCTCTCTGCCGTCGGCCTGTCCTCAGAGCCCAGGGTCTCTCGACCCCCTAGGGACGGGCCGCCCGAGAAGCAGCTCTGTCCTCTCATCTGCACCTCCAGCCGAGGGACGGAGTCTTTGCTTGGACGTTTCTCGAGAAGTGACCGCCTCCTCCACCTAGTTTCTCAGCTCTGGGTTCTTCGAGAGAATGTTCACTAAGCACCTCCCCTTTTTCAGTCACAGACTTTCCCCTCTTGGTTCCTGCTCTTCCACAGCTCTAAAGGCTCGGGACGGGAGTCTTCAGACGACACTTGGAGTGACTTCCTCTGCAGCCCGCATCTCAAGACGGGCTATGGGTGTCCTGGGAAGACCGAGCAGACTCACAACAGAGAGGCCTCTGCTTTCTCTAGGTGTTAAGTGCGAAGCGCAGCTTTGTTCTTTCCCAGCAGTTCAGCAAAGATACCAGGGAAGATTCACAGAGCAGGACCCCCTGTAAGACTCACTCTCTCTCGGCTTCGCCTCTACAGGCTGAGGCTCTGGGGGGCAGCGCTGCTTCTCCAGGAGGCCCAGGGTACCAGGTGGCTGCGAGAGCAGGGCCCGTGCCCGGAGGAGCTCCTCATCTGCCACAGACGCATTGGCAGCAGCCCTGCGGCCCTGAAGACCTCAGACTGTGCCAGCACACTCTGCTCCAGACTCGCACACAGGAGCAGCTTCTCAGCCAGAGTCTGAATGGCGCTCCCGTCCCTTTGTATCCTCGACGACAGAGACTGCAGATAATAACAGCGGCTTGGGATCCAACAGGGCCTGCCGGCTGCTGCCTCCTCCCCCTCTGCCCAGACCACCTGCTTCCCAGCCAGCCTTCCGCGGTAGAACTCATCTCCTGGGATGTCTTCCCCTGATGCGCAGCCCGACTGCACACACGGAAGTGTCTCCTGTGGTGTGTGCCTTGAGGCTGGGGCCGACGCTAGGCATCCTGAGGCTCTCTCGAGGTGCACGAACTACACGGAGTGATACGCAAGGTCACCTCTGCCCAAGCCATTAACTCCCCCAAGCAGCTAGTCACTGAGCTAGCTACCTGTATACGCTGGTCCTGTGTGGCCAGGTTGAAGCTTCTCTCTCTGGATTCCACTCTGAGAAAGGAACTGCGTCTAGGTTCCACACCTGTCTTACTGGTCAACCTCCGCCTGCCGTCAGCAGTGAGGCTGTGCAACCCCTCTGCCGCTGCTACCGGAGACCACGGTTTCAGAAGTGGGTGTAAAGTTCAGTTGCTCTTTATGAGGGGGCGCGTCCTGCTTCGTCGACAGAGCAGAAGGTACCAGCTGGGCAGTCGTTTCACCGGAGTGTGCCCACCTTTGTGCCCTGCCGGCTCTCGCCGTGCACAGGCCACCTCCACAGGGGCCTGCCGGGAGCAGCTCCCCTTGTCCTTCCCTCCGTCCTGGACGTCGGGGGAGAGGGGTCAGGCAGGTGGACGACCACACTGTACCACCCACGTCTAAGAACGAACACGCTCGCCCCTCACACTCAGGGGAGTGAAACGCTGTCGGTCGAAAACTAAAACAGTAAGTGACAAGGTAGACTCCTGGGGAAAAGCTGTGTCTGACTTTCTGATTCAAGGGAGAGAAAAAAACCCGCTGCCCCCGGCTCTGTGCCCACCCGGTTCATTCCTCCCCCTGGGTTCTGCTGCCTCTGTGCTTGGCCCCGAGAACCCACCTGGGGAGGGACGGTCTCCTGCTGGACCCACCACCAGCAAGGAAGACGGGTCCCGTGGGTGGGCGCGCACGGCAGAGGCAGCCCACCCTAGGACGGACTTAAGCCCACACCAACGCCTCCCACGTCTCCCCCCAATTCCGAGGGGCCCAGTGGGTCCCCATCTTGGTCCGCAGACCTCTGGCCTCTTCTGCGTCTACAAGTTCAGGACGTGGCTGAGAGGAAAGCGGGCAGACATTTTTCCTAGTCATGTAACAGAGAGAACTATTCCCGAGAGAGAACACGGAAAGTGTTGTCATGGGGGATATTTTTGAAGTTTGCTTTAGTTTAAAATTAGATGGCGCCTTCTGGAATCAAGAGCAATGGTTTCACGCTCCCCCGTGGTCATCTTTCAACTCCTTTCCATCTTGGATGGTCCAAGCATCTCTATTTCTCTCCAACGGCACCACACTGATGTCCACACAAGGAACCAGGACCCTTTATCGAGCTCTGAGGACACTGGAGACCATCCCACACCTCAGACGGAGAGTGAGTGATTCAGGATGCAAGCAGGTCTCTGTGCAGAAATAGAAAGTTTCCGTACTGCTGTTCCAAAACTCGGCGAACGTGCAGTAGATGCTCTCTCCTTTCTGCCAAAGGGAAATCGAAATAGAATCGTTTCTACAGATTTGGAGAACTTTTCTGAGACTCGAGTGTGAACTTTCTCATCTTCACTCGGCGCCACATTCATTCACCGAGAGCGCAAAGCTTCCTCGTGACGAGCTTCGCCAGAATTTGTTTCTTTCGTCGCATTTGCCATCATTTTAATCCTGATGGCTAAAATTCTATTTCAGACTTTTATATCTAAGTCTTACAATCTTACGAATTCTTGACATATTTTCAGCAGCCTCTTCCACTGAATATAGTTTGGGTAAAATTTCCGAGTAAGATTTAACAAGTTGATGAACTCTTCGCCTGAAATATGGAGAGAGCGAGCTGCCGGCAGGGTTTCTGAGGTATAAGATCCAAGTGTCACTTCCAAAGGACTAGAGTCCTAGACAGTGTGTGGTGGACACAGGGCGGCCACCCAGACTCCGTTCAGGCAGAGGCGCCAGGAGTGCAGCCTGCACCAGCCACAGCTAAGACCCCTGGAGGCTGTGTCCCAGCCCAGAGGACATGCCTGGACTGAGGTCCCTCCTTCCCCAGGGCAGCCCATGTCCAGTGGCCCCCGTGGAGGGGTGTAGAGGCCCGGCCACCTGCCCCAACTGGGACCATCTGAGGGGTCATCTCAGCTGAGGCCACCATTGTATCCACGTCACAGCCAGCTCCCCGTCCGCCCAGTCGCACATCCCAAGGGTGCTCCTCGCTAACCTCCTGCACACACTTCCTCTCAAGTCTGTGCAGGACTGACCTGAGGTGAGGCTCCTGTCCCCGAGCTCAGCAGGGCCTAAGGTGCCCCGTCTCTGCTGGCCTTTTGTCGCTCTTGCCTTTTCTCCATATGTTTGTCCCACCTTGGAAGGGGGGCCCCACCATCCCAGCCCTGAGCCCCCAGTCCCGGTCACCTCCGGGTGCCACCCCCAGGTACCACTGGGCTCTCCAAGGACAGGAGCAAACTTCCCAAAATTGCTTAATAAGAATAAGGGCCTTTGTCTAATTGCTTTTCTGCAAAGAACCAGAGAAAATTATTTTTCCCTTAAATCTTGCATTGGAAAATATCCCACTCTTTTTTGAATAAATCTGAGGCGACGTGTCCTCATTTTCCATTCATGACGCACACTGGGCCCTCCTCAATAATTTCACCTCAAGAGGCTTCTTTTGTGCTCCAGTTTAGAATGCCACCTTATAAACAGACTACCTTAAAGCCAAGCTGTGCCCTGAAATGCTAAGTGACAAAGTGGGTAAAGTTCGTGCCAGGAGAATTCTGAGAACCTGACACTCAAGAAACAAAACTGAATAAGGCCGTGAAAGGTCATTTAAAAACTGTTTTGCAAAAACAGAATTCGCAAACATTGAATCGAGTCGGCAGTGACCTGGGCCTGGCCCTGGGGAGGGTATGGACACGACTGCATTTGCATACGTGAACGTTCAGACATTTCCATTATATAGTTCATGAGTTAATTTTTTTATATATGAAAGCAAGGCTCGTGATTTAAAAACTGAAAGAGTATAAAGAAGCCAGCAGGAACGACGAGGATCTCCTTGCTGGCCCCCCACCCCAGGCCGCTCCCCAGAGGGAATCGCGCAGCTAACGGCTGCTCGAAGGTCCAGGAGGAAAAAACAAACCTGCACATCCGCTCTGCCCGCAGCGGGTTATCTGCCACGCCCGCCACCCGCGTGTGAAAGCACATGAGGATGAGGCTTCACACTGACCTGCTCCCGTGCCCACCTCATCCTTTCCAAAGAGGCTTTGCAGGACGGCACCCCATCATTTGTTTCACTGTCCCCTCCGGTTGGCCGTTTAGGGCTTTTTGCTTTGCTGAGTGAAGGAGAGGCCTTGCAGAGAGGCACCTGTACAAACAGCGTGAGCACAACCTCAGGACAGATTCCTCAAAGCGGGGTCAGCGCACTTTACATCTCACAGACATGCCAGCGAGGCCACGCTGTCCTCCCGCCCATCACACTTCCTCTGTGTGGGGGGACATCGTGCCTTCCTTCATCTGAGTTCCTTTAATTAGGAGGGTGTCACTAACTCTTTAGACACAAATCCAGGGCCTTCTGGCTTCCCTCACTAACACCCCCGGGCCCTAGCCGGCTGTCTAGAGATCTCTCTCCTTGATATGGAGAGGAACGCGAGGTGGGCCCTCCGCTCCCTCTACAGAAGGGCACACGGAGGGCCGGAGGGGAGCAGTGACCAGCACAGGGCCCCAGAGCCAGATCGGAGGCCCTCGTGTCCACTACCCAGCCCATTGCTCTTGTCCCTGACCCCACTGCTGGCCGCCTGGAGGACAGCAGAGCTACTGACTGGTGTTCTAGAAGCATCAGCCCGGGGCTGAGCATAGAGATGCTGGGGGTCCCTGCTCCCTCGGGGGGAGAGCAGGGGTCCCCACTTCTTGATGGCAGATGCGTCTATTGCAAGAACAGTGGGAAGGCGACCTGCAAGCTGATGCCAGGAGGCCCCGAACCCACACAGTGAGGAGCCTGATTAGAGGGAAACTGAGTCTCCGACGCACCTCGCACAGGAGCATAACAGACGCCTTTTCTTGTTCCTCCGACAAAGACCTCAGAGGGCACAGGAGGTGAGGCCCCTTAAAGTTAAAAAATGTAAATCTAAACATACATATGTAAACATACACACACAGATATACATCTGAAGGTCAGTGGCTTCAAAAAGGAGAGAAGAAAGCGCTCTCCTTCGAGAAACTGTTGATTACCCTTCACACACTCCGGCATTAATTCCACAGAGAGCGTTGACTCGTGCCCCTTCATGTCTGAAACTGTTCTCTCATTTTGAAATTTAGCCCTTGGACTGGTGAACGCTTATGAAATCACAGCTGGTGAAAGCCACCCTTTGGGGCCCTACCCCAAAGCCAGAGACTATAAAAGAAAACTCGATAGATTGGCTACATGCCCATGTAAAACTTGTGCATAGCAAACAGAAAGCTAAAGCCAAAGTTAAAAGAAAAATGACAAACTGAAAAACAAATGTGATCTGCACGAGTCTATGGCAGCGGTAGGCTGAAATCCTTAATATAAAAAGCTCTAGAGTAAGAAAAAGACATACAGCTAACAGAAAACAAAATATGGGCAAAGAACAGGTACAGGCAATTGTCCAAATGGCCAACAATAAAACGAAAAGATGTCCAACACGCCCAGCCATCAAAGAAATGAAAAGCACTGTGCTGCCAGCCTCGTCTCACCCAGGAGACGGCCAGAGACGCAATGGAACGACACGACCCAGGGCTGGCAGCAGGGCACGGCAACCTGCTCCCCCGCCAGGTGGGCGGATGGCACTCTCTGCGGCGTTTCTGGAGGGCATTTTGGCAAAACGCGTCCGAGCCTTTGGCCTCTTGGCGTGTCTTCTAGGAATTTACCCTGAGGAAACACTCAGACAGCTTCCAAAGACATATCATCAAAGATGTTCGTCACCGTACTATTTAAAAACTGCCAAGAAACATGCCAAAATATTTATAGTCGCTATCTCTGGGTGCTTACGTTATTCATTAGATCCGTTTCCCAAACTTTTAGCTGGGAACGAGTATTCCTCTTATAATGAAGAAACACTGCCTACTCAAACAATTCACTGAAGCATTAAAACAATGTTTTCACGGGTTTCTTGACACTTGGTCCCCAAATTCCCCAGACCGGTGAGACTAGAAATATCGCCCTTCTCATTCCCTGCAGGAAAAAGTCTCTGGTTTTTTATCCTATCAAACCTCTGGCACATTCTAGGCAGGAAACAAAGCCCCAGTTCACCCCCGCATACATCTGGTTCAGGCCCAGCAGGCCAGCAGGGACAGACAGAGGCATGTGTGTCTTGCTTGTGGTCTGCCCCTTCCCCTCGTCGGGCTCCATCCCCACAGGCACCAGCATCTCAAACAGCACGTGGACACCACGGGCTCCAGGCAGGTGAAGATCTCAGGACTATTTGAAAAAACTGGGAAGATGTTTCAGGCCACTCAGTCAGGGCAGAGGCCAGAAGCAGAAGCTAACTTACACCCACAGTGGGTTCCTGGAAGACAATATTCTCCATCCTTCCCAAACCAGGCCAGACGTCTAGGAAAGGGGGGCCCGGTCTATCTAACATCTGTCTCCTCCTGTCAGACCCGGGCCTGCAAATAGAGCCGGTTCCCTGATTCCTCCCAGCCTCCACTCCATCCTCCCCAGAACCCGGGAGGCTGGGCCCAGAGCAGGCACACTCTCAGGTGCTCAGGGATTACTTCCTGAGTGACTGAGATGCCATCCCAGGTCCCTGATACTCTGAAGCTCTGGGCTTCTATTAAACACAGGCCTGAGCCCTGCCTGCCTTGCTCCCCTGCGGCCGACCCTGGGCAGGGAATTTATCCATTCTCAGCCTCAGGTTCCTTATCTCTAAGTCCAGGGTGAGGCAGTCAGCACAGACACGTAGAAGCATTTGGCAAATCCAAAGGCAAAGGCAGCTGGAGGCCTGGGCAGCTTTCCTGGAGAAAGAGCAGGCCCTGTAGCAAGCAGCTCGGGGGACCTACGGGATGGGGGTGGGGGGCAGAGGGGACCAGCTGCTTCCAGGGCTGGGAAGCCAGGCTCAACCTTGAGCTCCATGCAGACTTAAGACAACGAACTTCAGCTCGGCTAGCCCGGAGGAGAGGAGCTGTGGGCACGGTGCCGGGCACACAGTGGACACTGGACACGCAGGAGCTTCTAGTAACACGGCAGCTTCGAATCACAGCAACAAGAGAATCCCGAAGGAGGCCATCAGAGGCTTTCCTACAGCCCACACCCTCTCGGCTCCGAACTTCCCACCGCTGCGATCCTCCAGGCAGAGCGGGCGGCTGCCCGACTTTCAACACTTACTCAGCGCGCCCCTCTGCGAGGGGCGCAGATCCAGCCCCGGGCACGGGGCGGTCAACAGGACCCCAGGGTCCCCGCCTCCTGCAGGGGGTGGGGTGGGAGTCAGGCATCACGCCAACAAGTAATTCACCGACTGCAGCAGGAGCATTTCTGGGGTCCCCGTGCGAGTCTGGGGAGGGGCGGCGCGTCCCCGGAGGCTGGCGCCGCCCCCGGGCGGAGGGCGGGCCGCGGGTCGCGGGTCGCGGGGGAGGCGCCCGGCGCCCGCGGCTCCTCCGCAGCGCGGCCGGCAGGTGGGCGCGCGCTCGCCGGGCGGGGGTCCGGCCGGGCCGCGCGCCTCCCCCGGAACTCGGCCGTGCCATTCCCATGATGCCCAGCCACCGGGCACGGCTTCCGGAGCGCGGCCGCCGCCTCCCGCCGCCGCCGGTAGGTCCGGGGAGGGGGCGCCTGGGGGGTCGCCCCGCCCCGCGCGCCCCGCCCTCCCGCGCGCGCCCGCCGCGCCGGGGCCGGGGCCGGGGACGAGGGGCGGCGGTGGGCGGCGGGCGGCGGGGAGGCGCGGCCGGGCCGCCCGTCCCCTCCGCCTGGGCCCGAGGGGCGGGGCGCGCCAGGACCTCGCCGCCCCCTCCCCCGGGACGCGAGGCGGGGCGGGCGGGCCGGGCGCCGGGGCGGGGGCGGCGGGGGCCCGGGGCGCCGCCGCGCAGGGGAGGGGGGCGGGCCGGAGGGTGCAGGCCGCGCCGGCGCCGGGCTCCCGGGCAGGGGCGCCGCGCGGACGGCAGGCGGTCACCTGGCCGCGCGGGGTCGCGGCCCCGCAGGCAGCCCCGGCCCCGCGTCTGCGCCCGGCGGCCCCGGCGCGCGCGTTCCTCGAAGGCGGCGGGGCCGGCGCCGCGGCCGGGGCCGGGGACGGGGCCGGGCCCAGGTGGGGCGCAGGTGAGGCCCGGCGCCGCGGCTTCCGGCCCGCCCGCTCCTCCCTCGCCGCGAGAAGGCGGTGCAGCCCTGCCCGGCGTGGCTTCGGGGAGGGTCCCGGAGCGCCGCCCCAGCCCCCGAGCCCACGGACCCCAGAAACATAGCCTCGGGGGCTCCGACCTGCGTGGAGGCCGCGGCCCTTCCCTGCGGGAGGTGCTCGCCCTTACCTGGCCGAGGACAGGCCCTTGGCAGGGTCAGCACTGGGGGCGAGGGCCCCCAGGCAGGGACAGCCTGTGCTCAGGGGTGAACGGTCAGGACAAGGTCAGCAGCGAGGGACTCGCCTTGCCTCCAGCCCCCCGGGCGCAGGCAGTGGCACCGCAACTTTGCTTGGGGGACACGTTGCTGTGGTATTGTCAAGGGTCACCCTCTGGCAGGCCAGGGCCCGGATTCGAGCCCACGCCCACTTGAGGTTGGCCAGACAGGGCCCTACTGCTGCCCGGCAGTCCTGGGCCAGGCTGCTTCCCCCACGTACCCCGACCCTACCCCCTGAGCCTCGGCGAGACCCCCACCCAGGAGGTAAGGACCGGAGCTGAACTGATTTTTGGTGAAGAGAGAAATGGACTCGGGGGCATTTTGTGGCGGGAGCCAGGCTGTTAAGATGGTACGGTTTTGTCCTCCCCTGAGGTTGGTGTCTAGACTGAGATGATGTCCAGGTGCCCTCCACGTTTTAAATTGTGGCACCGCGTGGCCTTGGTACAGGGTTGAGTGTCCCCACAGCCACCCTCCAGACCTGACTCCTTGGCTCTCGGGGCGCAGGGCGCAGTTCAAGAAAGTCGGAGCCCCTGGCTTCAGCTCGCAGTTCTGTCCAAATACAGTTTAGGGGCGTTTTCCAGAATGATTCATCTCATGTCGTTGATTGTTTTAAAGCCACAAGCTGTCGCTGGAGACGCCCTCTGAATTTTTAACCTCGTTCTTTCACTAGGTAATTTGACAGTTCAGACAACTTTGCTAGGAGTCCACGCTCTGTCTATAGTCATTGAAAAGCCGTGAACACGGTTCACAGAGTTCAGTGTTTCCCTTCCCTGGACCTTGCTGCCTAGTGTGGGAATCTCTGCGGCCCAGTGCGAGCATGGCTGTCCCTCGGCCCACATTTTGAGATAGAGTTGTTGTCCGAGTTCATAGTCACGATTTAGACCCTTCACAGCCCGAGGCCAACACAGACGTCACATCATCTCTGTAATTTTGCTGAGGCGGTTTGAAGGATGACAGCAGCAGAATGGGCGCAGCCCCCTAGCCAGTGAAGGAACCGCCACCACTTATGTTGGTCCCCACTGCTCTGTGACAGTGGGGGAATGTCGCCGAAGGGCGATGCTAGGGGAGAGATTATGAGCTGTAGTGGGAGGCCAGAATCCGAGGACTGGCGGATGGCTTCACATTCTTCTCCCCACCCCCATCCTGAGTGTCAGATCTGTGGCCCAGCGTAGTGGTAAATTAGTTGTGATTAACTATATTTGGTCTCAGGGTAAGTTCTTCCAAATTTTAATTTTGAGCCCTTAAACAAATGCTATTTCTTTCCCAAAAAATACTGACTAGCTGTAGCTTTGGCCTCTGAATTAGGTGTCTCTGATTCTCTTAATCCTGGCAGTCAAAAGTCTACTTAAAAAGTGGGCAAGGATGCTATGGAGTATCGCTGGAGCGATGAAGACCGAAGCTCTGAAACATTTTGCAAACATTGCTGAGTTGTCCAACTGAAACCAGACTGGAAAAGAATTTCAAGTAATTTCAATAAATTCTTTCACATTTTAATTTCACTTCTTGAGCACAAATCAGTCACAGCAAATGACTTGCTTCTGACTTTGTCACGCCCTCTGGTTAATGCTGGTCACACCTGTTTGGGCATGCCTGTGCCTAGGTGGCCGGGCCACGCTTTCTTGGAAAGGACTGTGGTGTGTAAACACAAGACTATGTGCTTGTCAGGAAGGAGGCTCCTGGTAGAGAAGGATCTGGGTCGGAAGCAGAGCAAATACACAGGCCAGTTCCAGCCCACCCACTGAGGTTCCAAGCGTGGTGACGGCCTTACCGGGCACCGTTTTTGGGGCGGAACTCCATCCGTGCTGCAGGGCTCGCCTCTTGCGTCTCAACTGCTTTGCCTTCCAGTGTGGGGGGTGCTAGGGGGTCAGAGAAACGTGAAGAATAAAGCTGTACGATGCATCTTGTGTTTCTCTGACTGTCTGCAGTCCGCAGTGGGGTCCTCTCTGCGGCGTCCCGGCTTTAGTGTAAAGGCTGTTTGTGAGCAGGTGTTGAGTGTTCCCAGGACCGGCCCAGCAGCTCTGCTGACGCAGCCGCATTTGCTCTGAGATACGGAAACTGTGGAGTAACCACACAGGATGAAAAAGGGCATGTGACTGTGTTTGGGGAAACTTTTAGGCTAATTAGCTAAAAACAATGATATGGGCCCATGAGACCATATGGCAAATATACATGTGACGTTTTTCAATCAAAAGGCTTTGGTACAACTGACTCGTTGAAGATGTTTGGGGAGATAATTCTTGAATTGCTCATCACGTAACTTTTTATTTCAGGAGCTTGTCATTCACGCCAAGAACGGCCCTGCCTGTGAAGTCTCCCCAAGCCCGGGTTCATGACAGTCGTTCGCTCTAACCTGCAGTGAAGCACTGACAGACCATCTCATCGGCCCCCTTGACAACCTTTCAGGGTAAATAAAACCTCTCTTCTCTTACAGACAAGACAGAGGCCCAGAGCAAGAACGCAGTGCAGGGGAAGGACATTCGTGTGTGCTTCTGTGCGAGCATGGTGCGAGGCGGCTCGGAAGTATTCTAAGTGAATCTTCACAGCAGCTGAGAACGCTGAGGCCCAAGAAGCACGAGTAACCGGCCCAAGGGCCCCCAGCTGGCTGGGCTCTAACAGACCCACTGCTGCTCCGGGGCCGTGTACGCTGTTAACCGACAGTGGCGTGATACCAACGTGCGCTCTCCTCCCAGGATGTAAAAGGGGCAGGAAAATAAGGACTCGCCTTTCTGCACGGCCCTCCCCGTCCGCTAGAATGTTTCTCATGAACGCCCCTCCTGTGGTTGCTCTCCAGTCGAAATGGGAGGCCTTTGGCCCACCTGGGGGCTTTAGGTTCCCTGGGTGCTTCTCAGAGCCGAGAGAGGGCGTGGCGAGAGCAGCGGTGAGCGCCGAGGTGCAGATGATCATCAGCACGCTGCAGCGCGACCAGGCTGCCCTG